ATCCAAGCGATGGTGGTATTATTTCAGCCTGTGACCAGATAATATTGGTCAAAGGTAAGACGAGGGAACCAGCCATCCCCAGAACTGACTATTCCCATCCCCACCCCATGCGTGATGACAAAACCAGGTCTTCAGTTATATGCTTCCTCTTTATTTAATAATAGTTCCCTTTTGTCTAATTAAAAATAACAATTTGGTGGCAACTTCTGGAGGGCTTTAGGGCCATAGCTAAGGATATCACGACACTCAGATTTGTGCATTTCTAATTTAAAAAAAAAAGCAATTCTGGTTTCCACTAGGAGGCATACTCCTCTGATGTTCTTTTCATGTTCTTCAGACATTTCAGTAATCAGGGAAATTGTGACATTATGTCTTGTGCTGAGTTCATGAGAACATGTACAAAAGAGATGCACAAAACTTATCAAAACATCTAGTTTCTTCCCTGGACTGTGCCATTTTAGCTGTTCCAGAGGTGTTCCATCTGATTTCTGGAAGTTTCAGGAAACAGATTGGCGTGGTCTTGAGCAGAAACCTACAAGTGCTGTGCATCAGCTGTTTGAAAGGTCCTTTATAATAAGAATGATTATGATAAGGCTGACTGTCTTACAATTTTAGGATTAGAAGTTATCCAATTTAACTGATGGACAGAGTTCTCTCTGAATTCCTGTTTTCAAAATGAGTTTGGTCTTTCAGAAAGATGAGGAAAATCGCCGGCTAGAAGAGAAGAGGAAGGCAGAGGAGGAACGTCAGCGTTTGGAAAAGGAGCATCGGGATCGGGAATTGCAAGAAGCAACTTTACGGGAGAGAAGATTTAAGGAGCGAGCCAATGAGATTGATGCTCAGAGGTGAATGGATCTGGTTTTCCTGGCAGTCTTAAATTTTAATTTAATATTTAATTTAAATGTAATATTTATCCCAGTGAAGCAAACTTGCCATTAGACCTTGGCATACCCTTAATAGCTGCAAAAAGCACATTTACTCTTCCCTTTGCAATATGCTTTCAAATATTACAAAGTTGGTAGAAAGAAAAGCTTTTAAAGATCTAGTACAGAAGATCTAAAAAAAAAAAGCTCTAGCACAGAGAAAGGCAGCTTGTTGTCTTTCAGACATTTTTGCATACAGCTCTCACAATCAGCTACTTTGCCCTGTGGGTAAGACTGATGGGCATTGTAATCCAGGAGGTCAAATGACCTCCTTACATGGTTTCAAAGAACATTACTGTGGGCTGAGGAGAACACTATAAATTCTTCAAATGTCTGTGAACAAGATTGGATATAAGAGCTGTCTGTGACATCCATCACTCCACTGATTGCCAGGATTAATGTGGCAGATGTGGCGCTCTGGGCCAGTGTCCCTTTCGTCTTCATGTTCCATGTGCACCCCTCCCAAAGATGTGTGTTTCATGGAAAAGGACAATTGTCCTAGGAGTATAAAATTCTTTGGTCAATGATAATACAGTCCAAAAATTCCCTTCTAGAATCTCCTCCAGTTTTAATTTAGCAAAACTTCCAAAGATTGTTGCCAACTTGGTCCAGATTCACTGAATTGTGCTTAACTTTTAACTGCAATATCTAACATCTATCTTGTGTGTTTCATTCCCCCTCCCCCCCCAAACATTAGACCTTCAAAGGAAACCCAAAATGAGACATATGTGCATGCTGTGAAATCAAGTTAATTGATCGACTCTTTCATTTACCTTACCGAAGTGCATTTCCTATGAATACCAGTGTTACAGGCTCGTAGGAAGCTGCTGGTGTAATAGCCTGCACTAGTATCTTTGCCACACTCCTTTCTTAAGATGTAAATTCCATTTTAATGCACATCTTTAGATGTTTTGTAAACTGACCAGAAGGTATGGTTTGCCCCCACCAAATAGTTATAAAGATGATAAATTTGCATCACTCCAGACAGGCTCTGTGAGGTCAGAGCTGAGATGATGCATCTCTCGATGCATCTTTCAATCCAACAAGAGCTGTATTCTTTCTGGGCCAAGTTAGAAGTTATTTAGATAGAAGTGCTGCTCAGAGATCAACCTTCAACCCTCTTTTCACATCTCCAGCTGCAATTGCATTACAGGCTCAAAACATCTTGTCTTGCCCTCTCTCTGGACTTCCAGCAGAGCAGGGTGGTGAATCTATGTCTTACCTAGATGCTACTGAATTTCAGCTCTCAGCTTCCCTCATTACTGGTCATACTGGTAGAGGGTGTTGAGAGAATTCAGCAGCATTAAGAGAGCTGAAGGTTCCTCCCCTCCATGGGAGTTTGCTAGTTAGTGCATTGCTGCCACTTAATCAGCATTGTCTGTCTTCTGTTTCTGCCATAAGCGTGAGAAAGTTCAGTCAACATCTTCCTCAGATTTGGTTACAGAATGAGCAACCAGTCACAGAAAGTTTCATTTCTTCCTTCTTTCTGTTAGAGCAGTGAGTACATTGTCGGAACAATTATGTGCTCGATATATGTGAAGTGGAACGATGAGTTCCAGACTGTACAGCAGAGAACCAGAAACAGCAGGGCTCGGGGTGAAATGTTGAATGAAGCAATTGCACTTTTTCCTTTAGGGCTGGCTTCAGTTCACAGGCTCACAGGAAGCTCTTGGTGCAATAGCCTGCACCAGTCTCTTTGTCACACTCCTTCCTTAAGCTGGGAAACCATCTTGATGCACATCTTTAGAAGCTTGTAAACCAACTAAAAGGTGTTGCTTGCCCCCGTGTAATAGTTATAGAGATGATAAATTTGCATCACTCCAGACAGGTTCTGTGAAGTCAGAGCTGAGAGATGATGTGGGTTTCAATTTGACTAGAGCTGTATTCTTTCTGGGCCAAGTTAAAAGTTCTTTAGATGGAGGTGCTGCTCAGCAGTTAAGCTACAAGGCTGAGTTGTTGGGGAGGATCACTTGCGACATAAACCTTCAGCCCTCTTTTCACATCTCTGGTTGCAGTTTTCACATCTCCAATTGCAATGTGTATGTGTGGTTTGGTCTGCAAATAGCAATCCACCCTTTTCTCACATAGTCCAGGCAGTTGATTACTTTTTTTAAGGTTGATCTAGACAACATTATGAAACAATGTTTCTCAACAGATTCTGAATGAAAAATGCATGAGCAAAGCAGTGGAAAAAAGTTGAAAATTGTTTGCTTGCCATAATATATGCAGTAATTGAACTATATGGAAATGAGCAGGACTGAGATTTTTCTTTATTTCCTTTCCCTTCCCTTCAGCTGTTTGGGAGGCAAGGTTAAAAGTTATTTTAATTTTTAATTGCTGCTGAATTTCAGTAAATAGAGGGAATTTCAAGAGCCATCAGCCATATGTTTGGGCCTCATATGTGGTCATTGATTGTCAACTGCTGCATTACTGGGTTATTGTGGAATTAAAGTGGAATTCAATTAAATCCACAACTGAGGAACTGAATTCCTGACTGAGTGTGGAATTTGTTAACTTTAGTTAAACCCATATTTCTGCTTTGTTGAAGATGTTTGGGAATAAAATAAGGTAGTACAGTTGAGTGATGTTAGCTCCTCCTGATATACTTAGCTTACTATAAAAGAAATGTAGAAAGATTTTGACAGTTTATTGTATATTGGGCTTTATTTGTTAATATTAGGATGCTAGATTACAGATAAAGAGAGCCAGTTGGTGTAGTGGTTAAGGCATCAGGCTAGAAAACCAGGAGACCATGAGTCCTAGTGCTGCCTTAGGCATGAAGCCAGCTGGGCAACCTTTCGCCAGTTGCTTTCTCTCAGCCCTAGGAAGAAGGCCGTGGCAAACTGCTTCTGAAAACCCTTGCCAAGAAAACTGTAG